CTGGAAAGTAACCGCGCGCCGTTGGCGTATTCACGTGTGTCGATTTGTGTTGTGTCGTGTGGTACTGTGTCGTGTTGCATCGCGTTTGGCGGGGGTTGAGATGGTTTGAAGTATGAAACAGGTTCCACTGCCTGGCCGATGACGTCACCGCGAAACATCAGTAGTTCCGTGGAGAAGTTTGCCCCGGGGGATCATTCGGTGGAGCTCCTTTATGGCGTAATAACATCGCGGTTTGATGCCACAGTGGTGTAATAGTCTGAGAGATTCGCCTTCTTAACCGCCTGAAATGAGGAGTCGAGCTGACACCATTCACGTGGAATGGTCACACCCTCGCATTGTGTTCCGGATCCCGAACTGGGGGTGAGATATCCTGCTCGTTTGTTGTTTTTTTACAGTGGAACTGCCTTTGAATACCCTTCATCCGCCTGTGTGGAGCCAGTGGTAGCCATTTGCGGTGCTTGCAATGCGAGGTAGACCGCTTGACGGCGAATCCGCTCGTCAATCAGCTTCCGCCATAATTGACAATCTAACCCGGTCCGGTTCGACTTATCAGAATATTTTCTCCAGTATACCCGTGCCAATCCGCTTCCACGTTTAAGACTTTCTAACATGTTACTTGAAGATTTAGCTCATTTCAGTGCTTAAAATATAAATAATTCTTACTTTCCGTTGGAAAGATGTGCAATAATCTGCTATAAACTGGTGAGTGTTGAGATACTTAATACAGTTTGTTGCCTTTTGGGAATGCCATTTTACGTGAACATTGGAACAAACAAGACTCATTATATGATTAAAAATATCAAATTGTATTGGCTAATAGCTCACAAACATCACAACATTCTACGGGAGCAAATCGCTTCCGGTTTCATTGATCTAAAGGCACACAAGGCGTTATCAGCGGCACGTAACAATTTCACACTCCGGTTCAAGTGAAACATATTTCCACGTGCCACTCGACAGCGTCAGTGGTATCCAGTTAACGAGGGTAGAACGACGCCCTTCTCGGACGCCTTTATAATGAATTAAACGACTATCGGTTGGTCTTTTTGTTATGGTCGGTATGTGAAGTGAGATTCTCACCTCATATGCCCATTATTAATGAAGTGTGTATCTGTTCTCGGACACAACTATTCAAACAATCTCAAGTGCAATTATCATGTCCTGCTAGATTACCTGTTGCGTCAAAAATGCATTTAACCCGCGTGACTGTCCACTGGTAAAGTGCCTGAGGCACCATCTCTTTCATACAGGAGACCGAAACAGTTGCGTTATCTTTTAACCTCAGTACATAAGTGCCATATGCTACCAGATCTTCCTTTTTTGCTCCCGCGGGAACAAAATACGAAAGCTATGTGATTTGTTATTGTACATCATACAGCTGCATGAAGTCACATTTACATGGTTAAAAGCAGCTTTTTCTAGACATGATGGCAACGTTAAGTCACTTTGCATCCGTTTTTCAGCACGCTAATAGAGGTATCATAGTTGCTATGTCAGATGGCGCAGCGTTTTAGTTGAAGTGCGTTAGGACTCGTACGTTATGAGTACCACAGACGCACATATAGAAACATCCCGCATTCACAAAACGTGGTGCGAGAGTTAGGGCACATTTCGTCCCCTCGTCCTACAGCTGCCATGACTGCTGGCGCTTGTAAATCTCATATACGTGCTACACGCTTGCCAAGAGCTTTAGTGATTGCAAAAGCTACCCCGAAGCTTACCAAATCATGAGTTAAGATATCAATGGACGATATTGGGTGGCATGTTCACCAACGTGTATTTGCTGACTCTGTGTAAAGTGCATTGGACCTTCTAAATCGTTACATACAGACCACAGGTATGCGAATCCATTGTTGGCGTCCAATTTATACATGAGTAGTGCAAGTAGGTGTATAATAGTTAGGACATATATCAACAGGTACCTACGTAAGGCCAAATATCTTCGCTGGATGCAAGGAGTATCTATCTCACATCCAGCAACTAACATATGGGTGAGAAAGATACTTTTGGCCGTTGGTTGTAGAGGACGACATGTTAATTCTTTGTGATACATCAATGTTGTTGGGGGAAAGGGAGGGGGGTGAGAAATCAACAACCAGAATGTAACTTTCTTCGGGCAGACACCTGCAGATGGATCAGTTTAAGCAGCAGACGTAATTTGAAGCTGGTGTTAAACTTAAATTTGGCTGGCTAAGTAAACAGAAACTATAGTGTTGCTCTTGAACAGGATCTTGGATCTCAAAACACTTTAGCGTGCTTTCTACCAACAAAAATTATCCTGTCTGGTTTTTCAACTCTGTAGTGCATTCCACCCACGAGGGTTAAATGAAATTGCTATCAAGATCCCGAGCAATGGTAGTTATGGGATGATAAAATAGGTTAGTAGATCATTAGACATATCAGTTACCTGGGAGGAGCCTAGAGCTCTAGGTTTCCATGGCAGCACGTTTAAGTGTTACTTGCTCACATCACTCTGTCAATGTGATCTGTCGATCAGAAAATTTGCTTGTTCTGATTGTCTGAGTTATGTACAATGTAGCCTATTTGTGCATCGTTTGGAATAGAAACTACCGACTTTCATTGGTGTAAATATGCTTTTCCGAGTTGATGGCTTTGTTGAGCATTTCAAGGGCCATTAAGGGATGGCTTCCTTTTGATTATTGGTTTTCAGCCAACTTAATCTGTGCGTGCTGGCAAAGTTGACAATCCGGTCCAGTCTAACCCATGTTCTGGTGGAAATTTTCTGCTCCGATCAAATCCGGCCGCTGATTGATCTGTGAAGTGAAGTGAAGCAAAGTGTGAAGTGAAGGCCGCTCCGTAAAGTGCTCTATCGTGAAGCTCTAGAAACGTATGCTACAACGTATACTTTTTCAAAATGGCTGCCAGATGGATTTCCGATGCGCAGTCCCTTTGCACTGCAGCGGGTTCGAATCCTGGTTGTGTCGTGGGATCCAAACGTTAATGTGGCCGATGCTGTCGCTGCTTCTTCATAAAGGAGCATGAAGACATTCCCTTTTTTCTTTTTTTTCATTTCAACATTCACGTTCCCTTAAGAAAACAAATGGGAAACGAATTACAGAGGACTAAATATCATATCAGTGGTTCTCCCGGCGCTTCCCGATTGTTTTTTTTTAATGATATGTGTACCGGGCGCTTGTAATACCGAACGTTTTGATAGTCTCCTGCCGGAGGCGGTGGCTGATGCGAGACATCTAGAACCTTCCCAAGTGGCTGTGGATGGAGGGAGTGGGGAAATGGAGGCTTGATTGATGTGGATAGCCTAAATATGAGCTCACTTAACCTTAACTCACTATTCAAAAGCTTACAAACCACGTGGGAACCAGCCTGACTTGCTTGATTGATTGATGACATCTGATTCGCTTTTCAGGCGTACATTCGATGATTGTTTAATGATGATTTGATGATTTGATGGTGATGATTGTTTTGTTTGAAGTGAATGCTCTTGTATGGTATTGCAAATTCGGGTTTTACTGTTCGGGTTTTACGTCGGTCTGCTGAGGCTCCCAGCGTCGCGAACGGCTACTACAATGTCAGCAATATACCTGCAGCACAAGAATGGCTTGACAGCGCCTTCACCCAATACTTGCCCTTCCATCGATGCCATGAATGCTCGGGAAACAGTACTCCTAGTGGGACCCCGATACTGATTTCATCTGCCTGATAGCAAAGCCTGCCTGGCGGGCATTAAAACCGAGCTTTTGTAGTGCAGTCTCAGCATAGCGCACAAGATGTACTCGGCTCACAAATGAGACCGAAGGTTCGCCTGGAATATGGATATATAGTTTGCAACGCCTTATTTACTGCACGTTGATGCAAATGCTCCGGGGTTTATTCCTTCTAGACTTATTCCGAGTAAAGCGTGAGCACAGGCGGCACACGAGAAAAACCACGTGGAGCAGTGCATATTCCTGAGTACATTGGAAGGTTCAGTCACTAATTTGCTAATGTTTGCCTCCGCTTCCAAAGATGATGCACTTGACATCCATCAGCCCGAGTAGCTACGGCTGCGCATCTACTAATGTCTCCACAAACGTGACGTTGACATGCCTGCGGGCGACGCAATGTGTGGCGCACTGGTCTCGACTTCTTTCTTTGCTGAAACTGTGCTATTCGTCAGCGCCCGGCAAAACCAAACAGCAGGATCAATGCTCGTGCACCCTGTCCAGTCACGTGTGCTACTCGCTGCCAAACACTGTCAAAGTGAGACGTTCCTTTTAATTGGGTGCTCCAACGCATTTTCCTCGCGGTCAAAAGTGTTCGCAAAGTTCCGGGCTCTCGTAATGTTGTTAAATGTTGAAACCGGTGGGGTTTGGTCCGGTGATATGTTGGAAATCGACCGCTGACCTATAACTACACAATGTTTGCGTATGGGCACCACCATACACTCGCCACTATTCATCCGCGACTTTTGCTTCGACGCCCACCAGATGGCCGCCCCGTCCCAATCATGTAATGGCACCACTGAACCTGACTGCGTGGACTCGCTGTCTCCGCCCCCAAATCGTAAAGCCCTGTACCCGGACCTTGGTCTTTGTTACATTTAGATCCCCGAAGTAGTGAGAGCGTCTAGCTCATGGTTCCCTACGTTCCTACGGTGACCAGACAATGCGGCGTGGGCGGTGCCACTTCCGCTCAGCAAGACGTCATCACCTCGACGCTGCCGACCGTGCACTAAATCAGACCGCCCGCGGCGCGTCACCGCGCGTGCCTACAAATCCGCTGGCACCCACCCGATTCCTGCCGGGCGTCTCGTCGAACAGCGAATATTGCTCGCCTCACATAAAACAGCGATTTGCCCCAATCGCAATCCCCATGCAATAGCCAGACGCGGGGCTAAAATCAACCCTATGCAGACGCGTTTGACGATCGGCTGGCGGCGGCGTCGCGGCGCCGCCTCGTCATTGGCGGATCGCCAGTGACGTCACGACGGGAGGCGCCCGTATAAAGACCAAGTTGCGAGGCGTGCAATCCGCGGTGCTTTTTGATCGGCAGAGGTGATCGCGGCAGCACGGAAGGACATCCTGCAGAGGTGAGGCAGCGACGCTGGCATCATCATCTGCTGCAGATTAGCGGGCCCGAAACTGTAGGGAAAGGGTGGAGGCCTGAAGCTGAAGATACCTGCTGTGTATAGCAGCGGAAGAGCGAATTATCTCCATCGAAATTTACTCTGAAAGTTCATACGAACACCATTGTCATGAAATTCTCCTTCTCAGTAAGCTTATGGTCAGCAGCAAGTTTCATTCACAGTGGCATAAGCGGACAAGCGAGGCTTCCAACCTACATCATCTTGAGATCACATTATTTGTGCATTTTATTTGTTCAAAATCTGTCGAGCTTTGCACAGAGACAACGATTTCCGGCGCATAGATGTGCATATTAATGTCACTTGCGGTTTTTATAGCGTTAGCATGCTCGACCAAGGAATTCAAGTTTAACGTTGGCGAACCAAACCATCCTCGTTTTTTCATGAAATGCTTTGCGGTATGCTTCGCATTGGTGATACAAATGATGGAGCCACGATTGGTCGACAACCTTTCCAAAACAATGCACGACAGGCTGTCTTTTATTCTCTTAACACAGCTGTGTGGTTGAAGAACCTGCCCGTCTGTGATGAGGAACACTACGAGTTGTGTAGACTGCACGTCTTGAGTGCAGCAGCTGATGTATTTCACGCAAGTTTTGCGCTACTGCGATTCCTTGTTTTTGTGGAAAATTATCACGGCGTTTACTTATGTGACATGGCGAATGACATCGGGATAGATATACGTACATGAAGTACATGATCTATGCATGCAGGGCATTCATTTCACGCGCCAAGCATGCACGGAATAAATGGTGCACTTGCATGACAACGACAAGATGCAGTTGTCTCCGGGATATTGCTCCCAGCTACCAAATCAGCAGTGTTGTAACAAAGCGTTTCAAAACGTTAAAAACAACACTTTGGATGTAAGTCTACCGTGTGACCCTGTCAAATGTAAGTGATAGCATTCAACTATCTCAAACATTGTCCAGCTTAATGGCCTGTTGGTATCAAGCCCAGCACTCTGGTTATCTCGACTGATCCACATCTTTCAAACGATGTGCTATGTCTTTTGCCACGTCGTGTCTATGGCTATGACACCTTGACCTACGAAATATGGAACTACCTCCTACGCGCTACGGGATTTATACATAATATTTATATTGACGGGGTCACGACTGCGTCTGGACTTCGAACCCTAAATGAGCTAAAGGCGCGAAGAAGCGTACGGTGGCTTGCTGACTGAGGAACCCACCGTGATATAGAGCACAATACATCAAAAGACGCACTTTTTCAGCGTACCTGCAAATGCCGCCTTGAAGTCGGCCGACATCAACGGCGCATCTGAACGGGAGGGGCCACCGGCGCACGTGTTGCTCTTTTTAAATTGGTGCATGTGCTGATACGCATGTCAGTTAATGACGACAGACAAAAAATCGAGATAAACCCGTAACATAAATAGACCGAAAGCACGCAACGTTGTTATGTGCCATGCCGGTCGCCTATAAAGCCGATCACGACAGGTGGGAGCTCGCGGGGCGAGCGGTCCGGTCCAGCACGGAATGACGGCGTCGCTCCACCGCGAGACCGTGGGCCTCCAGGGTCTCCAGCTGGCTGGCGGGCGTGGCCATCGGTCTCCGTGACCAGCCAGGTCCGAGAGCTTGGGCTGCCAGTGTGATGTCGGTTCGCGTTGCGCTCAGGAGCGGTGTGCGGCCTGGGGTCACGAGATTGGAGGCTTGTCCGCGGCCTAACTGAGCTTAAGCCTTGCTTATTGGGCAAATGGTGCGAGCAAAGCTTGATTTGAGGACTGCGATGACGCTCTCTGGAATTCGTGGCCTCACAACAACATTACGTCCGTTATTTTCACAAACCCCAGTGATTTCACCGAACGCGGTGCACACGCTGTAATGGTTGCCATAAAATTGAACTGCCGAGTTGCATTGCATTGCCTTTCACTGCTTCAGTGGACCGGCGTCAAGTTGATTAGATGACATATGTTCCACAGTCAGTCGATCTTAAGCAAACATTTCATTGCGTTTCATTTCAAGCACACATATTTGTGCTCGGCTCTGCGTGACATTAGACTAAGTCGTTTGCGCCATATTGCCGGAACAGCAATACTGATATCAGACTTTTTGGTTTATGGGCCGAATCAGGCCTCCTGACCAATGTTATTGGTAGCATCAGCACTCTAAGGCACACATTTTCATCTGCACATATCACCTGCAACTAAAATGAACAAGCCTTCTGAAGAACATAAGGCGCATTCACTGCCTAAACATCCCCAGGATATGTGGCTGAAAGCTATATGTCGACCCGGTTTGTTTCCTTACATTCTGGTAGCTATATTTGCTACTTCTCCGCTACTAACGAGCTAAACTTGTTGAGTGAACAGACCCAAGAGTTATCCGCACAGCACGTCATCGACTTCCAACTTTCCCGCCGCAAAGCCCGGGCTATCTAGCTCAAATGGTAACGCTTTTGGTCTCACAATTTTAAGTTACGACTTGAGAGGAGTGTCCCACCTTCGGGGCATATTTTAAAAAGTATACTCAGGTGAAACCTTAGGAGCAATCACGTCCCATAACAGCATTGGGTATCACAATCACGTCCCATAACAGCACCAGTGCAGCACCACCAATACATGATAAAAAATGACCTTTTGCCATATTCTAGTCCAAAGTGTGCTGCCAGTACTCTGTCAGAGCACCGCACTGCTTTCTTTCTTGGTCTCCACCAGAGTGTGGCCCTAGTCCGCGGCAGCCGCAGCTATCGCGACTGTCATAATCATGACAGCTGCCGTTGTCATGACTGCCGCAGAATGTGCTGAGGCCCGTCGTCAGCTGTTATGGATGAAAGGTACCACCTTTGGGCTGTTTTAGCTCGCACATCACGGGCATGCGGGCTTAAAAGTGTTTCATGTGACTGTGCCCCATGGGGCGGCTTCCGTACCCACCCACCACCTATTCCTCTCATCAGCTTCCGTACCCACCCACCACCTATTCCTCTCGTCAGCTTTTCCTCTCATCAGCTTCCGTACCCACCCACCACCTATTCCTCATCAGCTTCCGTTCGTACCACACCACCACCTATTCCTCTCGTCAGCTTCCGTACCCACCCACCACCTATTCCTCTCATCAGCTTCCGTACCCACCCACCACCTATTCCTCTCGTCAGCTGTGCCCACGCGTTAGCACCCGCCTGTATTTGCCCAGCACGTATTGTAAATTATGGAAAGGTTACCAAAACGTTTACGACCAAACTTATACATTTGTATTGTCAGTTGGAAAATGACTGTGGATGGGGCTAATTATGACAAAAAGTGTTCGCACTGTATCGCTGAGGAGGAAACGCCTCAGAAAGTATTATCTTGGAAACAACTTATCTGCTATGATATAAAATGTTTTTTTTATATTTTGACAATAACTGGGCACCGTGCCCCGCTTGCCTACGTTGCCCTTACTTCCCTGGCGCCGCATTCCCATTCCGGTCTTGCCATATAGGTGGACAAAAATCGTGGATCAATAGGATACAAAGCAGATTCTTACGTTTTTTCTTTGTCGCTTTAGAGGCCCACAACGCCAAGCACCATTCCGCCACCGCCCCCTCACCCTTAATAGGATCACGCGTGTAGACTGTGCCGCCGTGCAGCCCTGCACGACGGGCGAGGCTACGGCGGTCATCCGGCGTGACTGCTGGTACCGGGGCACTGCCCGCGTGCGTCTGCGGGCGTGTACGTGCTGAATTTCACCCGATAACGCTTGAAACAATACCCTTGTTATGCCACATGAAAAGTTATACGATTTAAGTACGAAGGCACGTAAGCACAGCACTCTGCTCAAAGTACACGGGCCCGTTGCCCGTCCACAAACTTTTGTCAGTTTGGCATACAAAAGTTGGTATCACGAATGCGGGGTCTCTCAGGGAAGGCTATGGCAGCACGTCACATAAGTACTCCCTTGCCCAGAATTTTAGCTCGCAATTTGCCCAGCCCGCGCGAAGTGAACAGACAGATCCTCCACGAATGGATGTGAGTTGGATCAGCGCTCGTCGCGGCGGTTGCTCCTTCTTTACAAGTCCCACCCATATCGGCTCATCACCATCTTTTTTCATGAGAATGGACAGCGAGATGAAGAGGTGCGCGAGTTAGAGCCAGGCCGTCGGAACACGCCAGTGGAGAAAGCCAAATAACGGCGGCTGTCAGTGGTTATGATCTAGGAGTTGCTCGACTTCTGCCACTTCCAAAAGCTATGGTCGCAAGCTTGGGAAGACAGGTACTGTAAGCTTTCATGACAACACAAGTAAATTGTGATGACAACACAAGTAAAATACAAGTATTGAGAACACAAGGAAATCCTACTTACAACTAGTTGCGTTCTTTGAGCTGTTTGATGTATTTCGGAGTACAATTTTAACAGGTTCGTTTTTAACTCGGGATAGAAACAAGGCGACTATAGATCGTAGCTTAACTTTGTGTTAATGTCTGAAGCTCTTTATCTCAAACCACGACTTAACTACTTCCGAAATTCGCCGGCCTAAAAATTGCGCGTATGATAAGCGCTGGCGACTAGCGTCACACCGGTTAAACACTGCAATCATACTCCAGTTGCCTCGAGCTGTCCAAAACACCAACACCTAACGTAGATGTTTACACTGGCAGCACTTATACGACCGACCACGAAACAGTTATGCAACAGTTTCAAGATGCAGGGCCGTCCGGAAAATGGCGTCGGTTCCCTATCAATGCTCACGTCAAGGAAAGTGGCGATGGTTTTCCATCACTCATAATGTCAGGGGAGTGACGTCGGTTCTCCACCACTCCTCACGTCAGGGAAGTGGCATCGGTTCCCACCACTCGTCACGTCAGGGGAGTGGCTTCCGTTCCCCATCACCCCTCACGTCATGGCAGTGGCATCGGTTCCCACCGCTCGTTACATCAGGGCAGTGGCATCGGTTCCCACCGCTCGTCACATCAGGGCAGTGGCATCGGTTCCCACCGCTCGTCA